TCAATGGACTTAAACCGAAAGGGACAGACCTCAACCATGCCCAAATCAGTGGCCAAAACATGCTGAAATGAAGACTCCAAGGACTAGCAAGCATGCATACATGTTAAACAAGATTAAGGCACAATACACAATCTCCAAAGGCATTGAAAGGATGAAACATGGAGTACAATGGCATATGTTCCAGCACTAAAATGTCATGCTAATGGACTTAAAATCACCTAGTGAGTGTATTACACTAGAGCATGCCAGACAATGCTCAAATGGACAAACCAGCCCCAAACAGACCTTATGCAGGCCAAAAACAGTAGCCAAATGGACCGAGTGATGGTTAAAGCTAGGCAAGAAAATGAGGCTCATGCAATGGCTCACAAACAAAGCATAAGGTGCAACTCTCAAACACATTGAAGGAGTGATAAACATGAGAGTATGGCAAAGATAAAAGCTCTGAAATTAGATTCCAAATGATGCCGAAGCATGCAACCATCACAAGTATAGCATGGTAGGGGCCTCAAAACTCAAGACTAGTCAAGGCAGTTATGCTATAGCTATACAAAACATTGAGTCTATGACCACGGCAGCCCAAAACAGTCCTAAAACAACCCAAATAATGCTAAACCATGTATGGAGTATAGCCAAATAAGCTAGCATGATTGGCCAAAACATCAAGCATGTTAGACTAGTGTGCAAGATTTACACTACAAGTGTATGAGCATGCAAGAGGTGACTCACAACCAAAATCAGAGTTATGCCATGCTAAAATAAGCCAAAAAAAAATCTAAGAAGAGCCTAACACACATGCTTAGAAAAACATGCTCAATAATTAGGCAACAAGGCATACAACCAAGACAAGAGGAGGGGGGACCACCCCCCACTTTTGAACTCAAAACCAACATTTTTTACTACTGAAATCCACTGGATTTTCAGTGGTTAAAAGGCCAAACAATAATGGTTTCAAAAGCTTAGGAAGTTGGCTCTAGAGGCTTTAACAAGCCAAAAGCAAAGGGAGCAACCCTAACACAAAATAGGCCTAAAACCATCACTTTTAGGACTGAAAACAGAGATTTTCTCAGTTCAAAACCAAGCCAACAAAAGTGTTTACAAAGTTGGTAAAAACAATCATGCAAAAGCAAAGGTTTAAAGGAACATAGAGATTACCCATTGAAGCACCTGAAGGACAGCAGCAAAACCAGCCAAAATCTGAACACACAAATTAGCTTTTGGAGCTCCAAATGATCCTCAAAAGACCTCAGCCCAATGGTGGTTAATTTTGGTTCAGGTGTCTCTTTGCAAAAGTGTAGAGGATTCTAAGCTTAAGGCTCAAAATAAGAAGAGAATGAGCTTCTAGGAAGAAGAGGCTCAGATTTTGCTCACAAAATCTTGTAGAGAGAGAGGAATTTTTTAGAGAGAGAGAGTCCCACAATTCCAACCCCTCAACCCTTGAGATATGGCTCAATATATATACGCAATATATGACCATTGGTTCGGAAATATCCTCAATTTGAAATATCTAGGGCACGCTGGAACAGCTGGAGGAGAAATATCTGTCAATTCTTGGGCTTTTTGGCACTTTTGGCCGGACGAACCATCTTTGGTGCCAACCGGGCCATCATTTTTGGCCGATAAGGTTCACTTTTGGCCGACGTATGGCCGATGAGGTCAAATTGTGGCCGATGCACTTCCATAAGAGCCGATGGCAAAAATCAATCTGGTTCCTGACTTGAAGAAAGTCTAACTCCCTCATCGGGACTCCTTTTTGGGTCATTCTTAAGCCTAAACTGTAGCCCCGGAAGTCTTCTTTCCAATTATGCCAAGCCTCATCTCAAAATTTCATGTGTGCTAAGAGATATCCCTCTTTTACTGAAGGTTACTCAGTTTCGGTCCAACCTGAATGATGCCCAACTTCAGCCAATCAAATCTCCCCATCCGGACTCGGCTTTAGGAGATTCTTAAGTGAAAAATGAAGCCCTAGAAGTAAGCTTTCAATGGTGGCCTCATAGCTGAAATCCAAGTATTTAAAAAGGATAGCTTGATTTAGCGAGGATTGCTTCGTCTCTCTCTAGCGATTCATGCCATCTTCTTCTCCAACTTGGTTTCTTCCTCTTCTCCTCTTTTCTTCAACTCCAAACCCCTAAACAAGGTGTTTTGAAAGATTTTTCAAATATTTCAACTCTCTTTCATTCATTTCCACTTTGTCCTTGCTCGGTTTACCGAAAAGCGCATCATTTAACAAAATGCGAGCCTCAAAGCATCTTAGAAATTTTATTTCAAAAATATTTTGAAAGAGAGGGTTTTAAGGTCTAAAAACCATCCAAAATAGCTTTGGTCCAAAATGGGGTGTGAGGTTAGGATTTGACTCTCCCTCTTGCCGCAGAGATTGAATCTTTGCATAGCATAGCCTGCATCACTAAGTAAGCCATCAGTAATGCCCAAGTCTTAAGGGCGGTAAAAAATGGGGTGTCTACACCCATCATTCTTCATAATAACAATTTACAACAAGAATCCCTTCAAGGAAAACTAAGTTCGAACAAAATTTCAAAATCTTACGAAGTTTCATAAACATAATACAAATTCATTCATCACTCTCAACAACATACTCCTTCAACATTTTTAACAACTCTTGCAATAATATCATCTCACCCATTCTCATCCTCATAATACAAAATAGTAAGGAGTTTTACAAATATTTCCATGTGTTTTCAAAATCCCCAAATTTCTAGGGCTTTTATCAAGAATCCAACATTTAACCATTTCAAGGTGAAGACCAACCCAAATCACCTCTTATTAGTCAAATGGAAAGAGAGTCCCTTAGAAAGAACAAAACAATTTGAGATTTTAGAAACCCAATTTTTAAAACCCTCTTTCTCTCTCTCTTCATTTAGTGCAAAATTTAAGACTAACACAACTACTTCAAAGCAACTTAAATTCAACATTTTGTAGCAAAACATATATAGATATAACTCTAGAATTCCCTATCTCAAAGTAGAAGTCCAAGGAGAAGGGCTAGACAAAGGTGAAGCTTCCAAAAATGGCCAAACCCACTTCTTCTTGGATAGAAATCAAGATTTTGAAGAGCTCAATCTTTTTTTGTCTAAGGAAGGGGGTGAGAAGATCGCTAGATCTAGGCCAAATATATATATATAGAGAGAGTATTTCTAGAGAGAGAAGCTCTCAACTTAGGGTTTGGATGTAAAAGAGATGGAAAAGTTATGTAAAAAGTCGCTTTTACGATCTGATATACGCGAAGTCTGCTCGAGCGGAGAGTTTCACGCTCGAGTGTCAGACACAACAACAACAACTCGCTCGAGCGCAAGGAGCACCGCTCGAGCGTGGATTTCACCCGTCTAGTATTTCACATATTACAGACAGCCACTCGAGCGCCAGAGGGGCCGCTCGAGCGTGAAAAACACTCTTGCAGCACTTTTGTAGAGACACCAAATACTGAAAGATGGCAAAATCCACTCGAGCGCAAGGAAGCCCGCTCGAGCGGAACACCGAAATTCTAGGCAACAAGACTTTAGACCAAAAGGCAACCAACCTGTTCTAAACACGCTCAAGTCATTCGAAAACTCAAATTCAAGAGATGTAAGGAAGAAAGACATAACCGGCAATATTAGACAACAAGATTCGGATCCAGAATACCATGACAGTCAGGTAGAGACCCGGGGTCGCTATACAACTGACATATAGCAGTGTTTGAATCCTTGCAGGATTTAGAATTTCTTACCAGGCTTCTCATGAAAAGTAGGATATGGTTGCAACAGATCATGATTGACACATTTTACCAATCCCAACCGAGCACGCTTCTCTTCCAAAGCCCTGTCATTTTATATATTTTGCGAATACAATTAGGCCAGAGGAGAAAGGACCAATGGCCAAACAAGTGAAAATGTAACAAACCTTGTTGTAAATGGCATGATAGGAAATTTCTGGCTTATCTCACTAAATATGAACCTTGACGTTTTCATCTTCAAATGATAGTTCTTGTCAACAACTCTTTTGTAAATAGTTGTCTGTTTCTCGTCTAATAGCTTAGGCTGCAAATTTGACACCAAAAATATGAGTAGAAATAAAACAAAAACAGATAATATCGAGGTAGGTCTACATGGCAAGCATAATTACCTTGCCTTCACCTGTGCTTGTGGCTATATCAATTGCATAATCTTCATTCTCCTCAAACTCTACATCATCAACTCTAGTCTCAGGACTCGAGACACTCAATACAACCTTGTTTCCATCAATCACAAACTGCTTCAGCTGGTGACTAAGGACACCTTCAACGATTTTACAGTCATAGGCAACAACAACCTTTTGAATTGCTTCTGTTACATCTTTATTCTGCCATAAAGAAAGAGATTCAGCGATATAGAGATAAACCAATAGCCTTTGGCTATCTTCTTCATGAATATAAATCATAACTCAAGTGAAGTATACAATTCAATTTCATCATTTGTAAAATTCAAAAGCATATCCAATACAGTTAGTATGTGACCCAATATAACCAAATAAGGCAACTTGGTGAAAAAGAAAAGTAATTGCCATACCCATTGAAGTGACCAAGCTAAATCCTAAAGGTCTAGAACAACTCTACATAAGTTTTTTTTGTTGATTAAAAAGATTTTGCCTCCAGGAATTATAAGCATCAGCAACAAATCAACCCACAGCATCCCAAGTATGGCATAGTACAATATAGGCAACAGAGAAAACAAGGAATCAACAACGGATTGATCACCTCAGCAAAGTTGCCTTCTTCATAGATTGTGTACGCAGTTATATTACTATTCTATAGATAGTTTATCTGATCTCAAAATATTCTATAAAATTTGTGTCTTGTGACAACATACAAGGAGAATGCTAAGTACACCCAATACAGATCATGTGGCTCTACAAAGGAAAAAAATAGTGAAGAAGATTCAACATGTTTTTAGAAATTAAAATAAGACATTAAAGAATTTATTAACTTGCATAAAAGCAATATCCCCTATCAGAGTAACTATGACAAAAGCTTCATCTGGATGTTAATCCATAGCTTATTCAGAATATTCCTCATTTAGGGGAAGCTAGAAGGATTTCTGAGCTGGCATAACAAGTCACACCAAGGCACAACCACACAAACAATAAAAAGCTTTCATATATTTTTTTCCAAACCATCCACAAAACAATCAATCATCTATTTTTTTTATTGCAAGGTTGTAGATATTGTTGGCCAAAAAAATTAAGGTAAATGTCTATGATACAAAAAGAAAAAAACAGAAGCCATTACTCACTCTAAGCATTCAACAATTACAACTCAAAATGGTATCATATGATTCATATTAGGTTAAGACAAAATTAAAATGCAAGCCTAATATATTTTTACCTTTCTTCTCGGCCTTAGAAGCCTCAAGGCAACCTCTGCTGCAGTATTTGCTGCGGCAATAACATCAGCTTGGCTACCAGTCACTGGTCCTCCCTGAAGGACATGGGTGTGTGCTACAACAGCAATGAAACCATCTATGTGACACCCCATGTCACTGCATCTAAACATAAAAGTACGTCATTATTCACAAACAGTAACATTAGCTCCTCTCATGGTATATAGATAGATGGTGCTCAAATAAAACTTACATCTTCACCATATCACCTTCTTCCAGCACTACCTCATTGCTGGCAAGTGGAGAGAAATGACAAAGAGTGTTGTTCACAGAAACACAATTGGGGAATGCAACCCCTCTTTCAATCTTCTTCTTGACATTCTTGTACATATCCCCAAATTGACTGTATATTACACATATTTGCAACTACTTAGAATCAAAAGAACCCTAAAATTTAAAATGTAAACTCAAACCCATGTATATACACAATCATATACATATATATATATATATATAGAGAGAGAGAGAGAGATAACTTACTCTCTGATAAATGAATCGCCTTTCTCACAAATATCAACAATCTTAGCCTTTGGTTTGCATTCTGACAGTACTAATTGCAAAGCCTCTGCATATTTTCAATTTGTTCCATAAATTTGTTGAACTGGGTCATAAAAAAACAATGCGTACATGCATAATCAAACACAACATTTAATGAATACCCACCAAAAACTACATTTCAATTCCCTTTTTTTTTTGTCTCCCTTTCGTCCTCGAACAAAAGGCGTTAATTTTAAGCTACGTATATAGAAACATAGAATCATAGATACATACACACACATACATACATATATATATATATATAGAGAGAGAGAGAGAGAATAACTGTTAACGATCTCAGCAGTGCTCTTGTATTTGGTGACAACTCCAGGAGAGGAGAGATCCAACTCCTTCTCTTCTCTTTCATCGTCCGACATCGACGCAAACTTAACAAATACCTAAGACTACGATGATTAAAAACAATTATAATTTGAAAAAAACCCAGAAAAACTAGCTCAAATTATTCCCAAAATTGAAAATGATAGACAAGTTGAATAGGGAAAAACAAAAATTACTCACCGCAGAAATTGCAAGGTATGGATTGTATAGAGAGAGAGAGAGAGAGAAAAAGAGAGAGAGAGAGAGAGAGAGAGAGAGATCTTGATCGACAGAGATGGAGAGGACCGAGAGCGACAGAGAGAGAGGGACAAGAACCTATGATTTGTAACAGTGGAGGTAGCGACGTGCAGTGGTGGCGATGTGTGACAGTGAGGTGGTGATCGTCACTGAGCGTACGTTTGGTTTGGTGTACTGATCAGAGGGAGAGTAAGAGAGAGAGAACCCTGTGAATAGATTTGGGCAAAAATTTAGGCGCCAATATCAAATGTTTCCCAGTAAAATTTTGAACACATCTGCCGACTAAATTTTAGTTGTTGAAAGATAAAAAAATAAAATAAAATTAATCGGTGACTAAAATAATTTTTTGTCGCTGAAAGTAAGTTTTTGGCGACTAAAACTTTAGGCGCCAAAGAGAAAAAATATTTTTTTTTATTTTCCATTCAACGACTAAATATTTTAGCAGCCAAAAATCAATATACGGCGACTAAATAATTTTTTGTCGCTGAAAGTAACTTTTTGGCGACTAAAACTTTAGTCGCCAAAGAGAAAAAAATAATTTTTTTATTTTTCATTCGGCGACTAAATATTTTAGTAGCCAAAAGTCAATATACGGCGACTAATTTTTTTTTGTTGGTGAAAGTTTTTGGCGACTAAAACTTTAGTCGCCAAAGAGAAAAAATAATTTTTTTTTCCCATTCGACGACTAAATATTTTAGTAGCCAAAAGTCAATATACAGTGACTATTTTTTTTTTGCCGCCAATTGTGGTATTTTTAGCGACTAAATTTTTTTTAGTCACCAATAGTAAATATACCCCGACTAAAAAAATTTAGTAGCTAAATATTGTACTTTTGCGGACTAATTTTAGTCGCTAATTCCACAACTTTTCACGACTAAATTTTTTTTAATCGCCAATTTTAGTCGTCAAAGGTGCATTTTGTTGTAGTGAAGTGTCATACCAATAAAAGCTCTTTTACATAGATGCAAAACTGTTATTTACGTTCATTGTGGATTAAGTGGAGTTAGGTATGAAACTAATGTTCATATTGTGGGTGTTGGTTTTCGACCTCACAACCAAATAGGGAACTTAGCTGGAGAGCACTCGGTAGAATATATTAAACCAAACACTTTCACACAAAAAGTAGGAATGCCACAGTGGATCGTCCACTCGGGGGCACTCTGACAATCAAGTCAGTCATTTATCTCACAAAGATATCAACTCAAGTAATCAGTGCACAAGTAAGCATACCTTAGACCCATAGGGGTGCCTTACTTTTATAATAGACAATGCCCTCGTCCCCTAGAAGTATCACTTCATAGGACTCAAGCATAACACTTATCTCAACCTCTTAGTTAAATGAGAATAAACCCCTCCAGAGCCTTATCTCTATCCAAACTAAATGCCTCAACTTATCTAAGACTCTTGTCCTCTATTTGAATATCTCATATTTCAGTATTACTACACCATATCTCGGCAATATCACAACAATCTCGATGACATGGCTTGTCCACTTGGCACCTTGGTCATCACCTTAGCTATGTGGCACGACCCTATGAATATGTCTCCATAATTGTCCCCTAGGTTCTATTACCTCGGCAACCTGAAGTGATAGAACCTATATCGTCTGATCTCTCAACATGTCGACTAAACAACATAAGAGATACTCTTCCAATCGAGATCATGACTCGTCAGTGTCAAGAAACAGGGACTCAAGCGTCTACTCATCGAGAACCAAGAACCAACATGTTTTTTCTTATCCAAATCCAACATCTTAACTGAGATTGCACTACTAGCCGAGATCGTGACTTACTAGTTTCAAGAATATCAAGAACCCAAGCTACGTGTGAGCTGTCACGCTATAACTGCCTCATTCGTTTTATCCACGTGTCACTATTTCATTGGGTTGTACCTCTCATACCTCAGACACGTCGCTTCACTTTTGTGCCACATCGCCTGATGTCATCTAACATTAGCTTGGCACGTTGTCCAAGGGTTTGAAATTATGACCCTTGCCACCATTTTACTTTTCATTAAAACTTTTTCCCTCTCTTTTTGTCTCTTCACTTCTGCATTCACAACCCTCTCTCTACTTTCAAAGCCTCTCTCTAAACCTCCATTACCAAACCTTTGAAGGTCTTTGCAACACCTCATGCCATCATCTAAGCTTTTAATTTCTTAAATCATTTAAGCTTTTAATTTCTGATTGAAGCAAAATTCCTATTAATAAATTACATATGCACATTAGACACATCACAAACAAATCCAATTCAAGATAATCACTATTTCCAATTCACATAATTTAAGTAACTTAATTAATTCCAATTAGGACTCAATTTAATCAAGCCTTAATTTTACTAACCTAAATCGAATTTTTATTTTTATTTTTATCACCAAAAGAGAGAACCTTTATTGATGAACAAAGAAAACATTACATCAACAAAGATAAAGGATGAGTGCAAAAAGTATCATTATGAAACATACCCATCCCAACTACGTCGACACCGATATGTCCGTTCAATCACTTGCTAGCACACCATCGAGAGTTAGTGAGCAACCAACCACAAAACAAGAATACAATAAACACCAAACAAATCAATGATAACACCCCAAAGCAAACATAACCCAGTTGCACCTTCTAGACGTCCCCGAACGTCCCGGGAAAATCTCGTTTTGTTCATTGGCCTTACTACAATTCAGACTCCATGTCACGGTTCTTAATCTGATCTTGCAAAGTGCAATGCAAGATTGACAAATCACCAAAGAGTCCAAATCCGGCAAATCATTTTGAAAAACTAATTTTTAGGAAGAAGATCCAAACATGGACTGCTTTGCCAGATACAGAATCGCCACCTAAATATTTTATTTTGGGAGAATTTAGGAAACCCTGCTCGTGCCTAAGGCCACATGTCCGTCATCACCAAAGTTGCCTCGGCTTGGGAACTTGGGTACGAGAGGAGAAGGTCATGCAATGAGCACCCCCGCTCGCCCGATCAAAGATCGGCCACTACTAAACATGATATCTTGTTTTTGAAAACACATGCGTTCTTATTTCGGTTTATTAGCCTAGAATTACTATGTGATGCGCGCAACATACAAGTATAGACCGGATCGCCTATGTTGGAACAAAACATTTCATATTTGTTTATTTGAAAATGGTTTGATGGTGCTACTCGCAAGTAGGCTAAGACGTGGATTTGCCACCCTCAAGTGGGCTTAGAAAACATGGTGATTTGCCACTCTCAAGTGGGCTTAAAACTCGCAATCGATGAATTGTTCCAATTCAAGTAATCCAACCTTCACCCACAGGCATTCAGGCAGGTATATCACATAATCAGTTAGCCTCATGGCAAGCATGGTATCATGGCAGTCACTCACACACATGCAAGGATGCTAAAGCATAAACACTCACTGAGTACTCCGAGCCAAAGAAAGAAGGAAGATAATTAGAAATCATGCATGAATCCTAACTATGCTGAGATGCCTAATGCAACACATGCAAGATGCAACTAAGATAGGCTCAGCTATTCTAAAATGGCATATGAGATGTTACAGATAACATGTATTCAACTTGGAATTGAAATACAATGCAGTTAGTATAATGCACCGAGCCCGGTGCATGCAAGACAGATGAATGGATGCAATCATGCGAGCATAAGGATGCTAATTGAAATGTGTCCTGAAACTAACCATCATAAACTGGTAAATAAAAGGGAGAAAGAAATGGGGGTTGGAAGACATGCATTACACACACACACACACTTATTTACAACATTGCCCTCTCAGAGGAGGGTCCGAATGAATAATACAGAACCAACTAGCTAATCTAAACTAATCTAATTAAACTTGTTATTACGCAACCAAAATGAATAATAAATTACAGCTAATTATTACACAACTCTAATTAATTAACAAACTAACAAAGTAAGTAATTAAACTAGCATGCAAACTACATGAATGTGGACTGCCTCAGCTCTGCCTTGAATGATAAAGGATGCATGCATACTCGAGTCGCCTTGTCAGAAAATCCATCGCGATGCCCCGGCTTGTCTTCAGAAATTTGCACAAAGCCCCAGAGAGATAAAAGTTCACCCCGGGAAACTGTGGGAAGGCTGCCGACCAGCTTATAGGCATGGGAGACCGACTATCGACCACATTTTGTGGTGGAAACCAAAGAAGATCGTTGGCCTGCCAGAAAACCTGGTCGGCTGACCAGTTTCTCTCCTGGATTCTGTTTTTCTGCAACAAACAACAAGGAGCAAGAGAGAGGCACGACAAGGTATTTGTAACACATGTGTGCATGACCACTCTCCCCGTAATTGCATAAGCTCTAGGGAGTGTAGTCCTTGACCCTCGGACCACCGGTCGCGCATCTCGATGCATGATGGCCGAGGAGTAAAATTGCACAACTTAATATGGAATGAATGCACACACGAACACCTAAAGCCAACAACTCCGTCATGGGTAGTCAAGAGTGTCGGTGACCAGGAACCGAGGCACGTTTCATCACTTCGAGTATGAAACGTCCCTCGTTTCCCGTGTTTGGACTGACTCCTATGCCAAACATAATATGCACAAATGCAAATCTAGCATGCAACCTTAATGCAATGCAACTTAATCATGAAAACATGCAAGTGGTGAGGATGTAAACATGCAACTAGCATACATAATGCCACGAACTACATGGCATACGCAATGCTTATGACACTAGCATATACAATGCACATGGAAACTAACACACACAATGCGATGAACAAGGCATGCACAATGCAATGATCAATCATGCAACAACAATGCATACTTCAATGTTATAGACTACATG